AATAATAATAATAATAATAATAATAATAATAATAATAATAATAATAATAATAATAATAATAAGAGCGACACAAGTAAAATAAAACAATGAAAAAAAAAAAACACTAGGAGGAAAAAAAAAGGGTACGTATTGTAGAGACAAAGGAATAAGGCTACAACGCATCAGATTCATTGAGTATAACAGCGATCGTTATTAAATCCAGAACGGTGCAACTCAGTTACACTTTGCATACACCCACTAACGCGATGTGCGCTATTACATAATTGTAACACCATGGCCTGCAGAAGCAAGAAACGGACTGAAAAAAAAAACAAAAAAAACAAAAAAAACAAAACAAAAAACAAAAACATAACTTGAAATAAAAGAGAGAGGGAAAGACTCAAGAAAAAAAAAAGTTCTTTTTTTTTTCATTTCCTTCTAATGCTTCTTCCTTTATTATTTTTCTCTTTTCTGTACTCATTTTTTCCACAACTATTTCATGTATAATAAACTCTTTAAAGCCTATTTTCAAACTTTTTCCTTGTTTTTTTTTTTTTTCTTTTCCCATTGCCTAGACTAGAGTGAGGACCTCAAGGACTATTAATTACTTTGCCCTCCTCTTCCTCTTCCTCTTCGTACTGCTACCACCACTACCACTACTACTACTAATACTAATACTACTACACAATGACACATGGATTCCTTCACTATTCGAACACACTACAGAAACCACATTTTTGCACTTGCAGACTCTTCAAACCCAGCATGATCCATTTTTGACTTATCAGATGTTCGTATGATTATTTCTCTCTCTCTCTCTCCCTCTCTCTATCTATGTGTGTGCGTGTATAAATGCAGATGGTTGCCCTGCCGCATGGGCCACAGCATCACCTCTAACATCACTCCGAGTTACCACTATCATCATTGCCAGTAACAGCAACAGCAACAGCAGACCTAAGTAGTGGGACCAAGAGTGGAACCTATATCGTCAACATGAAAAGTAGTAGTAATAGTAATAGTAATAGTAAAAGTAGTAATAGTAATAATAATGATAATAATAGTAGTAGGAATAATAAACAAATAAATAACAATAATAGTAATAATACCAACAACAACAAAAAAAAAAGAAAAAACATCAACAACTAAAAAAGAAGCAAACCCAATTCAACAATGGGGAGAATACAAAGAATTTAAAAAACAACGCTGCATCGCTCCATATTCTCCTTTTTTTTTCTTTTTTTCTTTCTTTCTTACTCCCCTTCTCTTTCTCTTTCCCTCTTTCTCTCTTATTCCCCAAGAAGGATCAAAGAAAGTAAAGGGAATGTCACAACCCAGGGAGCTTTTTGGGTTTTTTTCTTCTTTTTTTTTTCATTTCTCTCTGTTTGATTTCACTCTCACTTCTGGTGTCTTGTTGCCCATAGTGAGGTGTGTTCACGCAGATAATCTTCGATTGAGAAGGGTGTCTCCCACTGCCGGAAGAATGGGTGCTCTAGCAGCTCACCCGCCGTCGGACGCTCACGTGGTTCAGGCAACATACTAATATGAATGAAATCAATGAACTCCTCACTTAACGGATACGGCCTTGGGTACTTCTTTAGATCCAATGGGGCTTCTATACGAGCGACACGATCAAAGGCATCTATACAGTCCGTGAGGTCAACAGGATATTCACCAACAGCAAATTCTGCAAGGGTCATGCCTACTGCCCATATGTCGCTTGAAGCACCATGTGTCTTTCCGCGCTGTCGTTCTGGGCTCATGTATTTATTTGTACCAGAGCATTGCAAATCTTCAGAGGAACTTGTTACGGAATCGATGGACGGATCAAATGGAGAGATGTCTCTACAAGGAACAGCATTCAATGGCGTAGCAAGACACTTTTGTTGTTGTTGTTGTTGTTGTTGTTGTCTATTTTGGGACTGTGACAAAGTTGTTTGGCTACAACTAGCACGGGTATCCTCTGCAGATCCATACCTCTGGGAAAGACCGAAATCAGTAAGTTTTACTATACCTCTATCATTTACAAGGACATTTCCGGGTTTGATATCCCTGTGAATAAACCCACGCTCGTGCATATGTTGAATTCCACGTAACAACTGTTCCCCTACTACTGCCACTAGTCGTTCTGGTACACCTACATACTTTTTCCCATTGCAATCTCTCTCATCACCTTCTTCTTCTTCTTCTTCCTCTTCTTCTTCCGTTGTTGATATTGTTCCTCCATCATGAGGATCGATATTACTAAATGGTGCGTGGAGAACCTTCGTAAGATGATCTAAACCACCGTAGTGCATGTACTCCATAACAAAGTCGAGTGCCATGTTCTCCTCTGAGAAAAAGGCATTGTAGAGCTTCACCATAAAAGGACTACAGTACGCCATATGCAGCGCCTGGAGTTCCCTCACCACAATGAGTTGCAGCTGCTGCAGACGTTGACTTGAATAGGTAGGTGGTGTATGTGTGTGTGCTTCTGGGGACCACTGTACAAAGAACGGGCTCAGATCAATGCGCTTTACCGCAAGCCGCCGCCCGCTAGGGATGTGCACAGCTTCAAACACCGTCGCCGACGCCCCTTCGCCGACAGGTCCTGGTATGATTTGAACATCCGCATACCGCAGGGCGTTGGACGGCGGCAGGGCCGACATGCGGCACGAGGGCGGCAGTTCCATGTACGGTAATAAACTTGCGGCGGTGTCTGGAGTGCTCTGTGCAGATGGCATCGCAAGACTACCACTATCGGAGTGACTAAAGGCTGAAGAGGAACGCGGTGGGTATTGTAAAGGTTGTAGATATTGTGTTCGTTGATAAGTGGGGCGGGTAGTGGAGGAGTGGGCATCGAGGGAGTACGTGATGGGACTGTATGGAGTGTCTATACTGGCGGAGAGAAGTGTGAAGGAGTTGTTTGCTGCCGTTTCGAGCGGCACTAACATTTTGGCTGGCAGCAACAGTGGTTTTCTTGTGGGCGTTGCGTGTGGTCCCCCTGCTGTTGCTGCTGCTGTTGTTGATGCTGCTGCAATCTCCCCCTCCTCTACAGAACTAGACTTGCGTTCGCCAAGACTATTATGATTATGATTGCTACTATTATTCAGCAGTAGATGGTTTTGCATCGTGAGGCAGCCGTCGCATGAGACGCGGAAAGGTCCTGCAATCAACACATGATGATCCTCCGACAGCGACAACATGGGCGGTTTGGTGGCGGGAGCTGAAGGCCGTTGTGGTGATGAGTTCATCGTGCCGCTAAGACTATCAGATGACTTCCGTAGGGACTGCGGTGGTTGCAGCGTAGAGGACTCTCCAGTGCGGTGGAGTCCAATGGCACTACCAGCGTACAGAGAGCCGGGTGTGCGCTGCTGCTGCTGCTGCTGTTGTTGATTCTGTGAGGAGGACCTGCTCATCCATCCTACTGGTGTGTGTTGTTGTGTTGGCAACACGGAGGAGAATGGTGTGGAAAAGAGTGACGGTGGCCGTTTCTTCTCTCGCATCGGTATTCCACTGCTAAAACTATTATTCTTCACACGTTCCTCACTCATGAGTACTTTACTTCCAAAGTGATTAGGAGTTCGAGCCATACGGTGCGTTTTCTTGGAATCTTCCATCTCCGTATTGCCAATGAGCATACTCAACTGCAGCGTTGGCGGCGCGTTTGCATTTGCTTCCTGATCAGAGATTGACTTGCCAATAGTTGCTGGCAGGCTTTGAGATATCATGGCGCTCGGCTCTGCAGTGTGTGTGGTAATGGGAAGCAGGAGCACCGGCACCAATTGTTTCCTTTCTTTTTTTTTTTTTTAGTTGTGGGTCAATAAAGAAAAAAAAAAAAAAACAAAAGAGAAAAAAGGGGTTTCAAAATTAATAATGGCTAAACAACATCTTGAATGAAAAAAAACCACAGTGATATCGTAATGATGACACACCCAAGAAGGAGGTGGATAAAAACACATCTGAACACACACATATAGAGAAATAGAGAAAAATACAAAAGAGAGAAACATACATACACACAGACAAATATATATATATATAACACAAGCAATATATATATATATTCATAATATATGAATGCACAAAATAGCAAGAGGTAGTGGGACTATTAGTAGCATCTACAATTAGCCCCAGAGACAGCAACTTATCAACGATGGTCCTGTAAATCACAACAAAAGGTGATTCCAGATAAAGGGAAAAAGAGGGTAATAGTCACAATAATAGAAACAATCGTACAAGGTAAAAAGTCCCTACATCCCCGTACAGTAAGAAAAATCAACCCAAAGGAAAAAAAACAAGAAAAAAACACAGGAGGTTCTCCCCATCGTAAGAATATTTGCAAAAGCAAAAGCGCACACACGACTTCCCACACAGCCAAAAAAATGGACAGTGTTCAGCAAACGTGTGCAGTAATAATAGAAGGAGGAGGATGGAATACTAATCAAAGCACCCTAAAAAAAAAGGTGGAAGATAAGGATTTATTTGCTTGTCAGCATCAAAATAGAAAGTAAAAATATGGAAAAAATAGCTCATCTCGCTACCATTCTCCAGACCCTTATACTTCACACGGTTGATTTTGCCATCCGCGTCTGATACATTTTCACTGAAAAAATAGTCTGGTAATTGAATATTCGCATATGTTGAGCACTGTTTCCTTTACACATTTACTATGAATTTTTCTTTCCTCCGCCCTCCCCTCTTTTTTTGCTTACACGTGAGTCTTGTTTTTCACTTTCGGCTCCCCCATCTTTTATTATTTCGTTGCTGTTACCTCTGCAAAAGGAAAACTAAGCACATTAACTCTTATTCACACATAAGAAGGTACCGAGACAGGAGCAACAATTACCCACCAAAAAAACGTAATCATCAGAAGCTAGTGTTTCTTTCTGGGTACCCTTTTCCTATTATCTTTTTTTTTTTTTGCCGTTCCACCGCTGACGCTGTCTCAATCCTAATAACTCACTCCTCTTTACCATCGGGTGTCACCCTTTTACCATATATACACAGACACGCTTCTATTTCTCTTTCTTTATCCTTTTTTTGCTTGCACACCCCAAAACATACATATATATATATATATGATGAGTGTCTGCGTCTCTGTTTGTGTGTATATATATAACGTCCTCTTAATTGTAGTTCCTCTACTCTCTTTTTTTTTCTTTTTCTGGTTTTCAACAAGTACACACAGTTTATCCAATATAAAATAAAAAACAAGTCATTTGGAGAAGGGTACAGAAATAAACAATGAAAGAGAGAAAGTGAGTCACACATACACAAACAAATAAACAACTCTAACTATGTTGGTGTACTTGGCGATCTCATGCATTGGGAGTTATTATTTTCACCCATCATCCTCTTGCTTCTGCTAAATAAAAAAAATAAAAATAAAATTCACCATTAAAATAAAAACATAGAAACCAAAAATGGCGGCATTAGTTCTACTTTCTACCGCAGGAAGCGCACGCCTGGCACAATCACGGCAATGGATGGGATCTCCGGCACGATACGCCACGCCCCCGGCTCCACACTGCGGAGCTCCTGGCAGCACGCACATGGTGAGAGGCAGAGGCAGGCACAGCAGCAGTCTCCAATGATATTGCCTGTGGTTCCGTTCTTCTTGCGCAGATTGTACCGCGTGAAGAGACGCCCGATTGGGCAGCAGAGAATACAGAAACAATGGGGCCAGAGCGCGCAGGGATCGTCCAGACTTGTGGCGTACAGTTTACACATGGAGCAGGGGCTGAGGAACGTCCAGTGCAGGAAGCAGCAGAGAACCCCGAAGAGATCCGGGGCACCGCAGCATGGGGCGAGCTTCCACACCTCCCACACAGCACCAGCGGAGCCGGACCATTGGTACTGGTCCAGACCGAAGATACCAAGAGGGAGTGTGCTCTCAATCTCAGAAACCTGTTGACCCATTGTTTACAAGTGCAATAAAATGCCTCTTATTATATATATATATATATATCTCTCTTTTCCTTCACAAACTGAGGTGAAATGTAGGCTTTAAAGTAGCTAAGATTCTGGATTGCCAAAGAGAGAGAAAGAGAAAGTTTGTTCAGGTACAGCAGCCACCTCAGGGGAAAATACACATATATACGTACATGTAGAGTACGGAAGAGAAGGGGTGATACAAATAACCGAAGAAAAAAAAGAAAAAACAATAACAACCACAAGAACCATAACAACAACAAACAGCCACACAGCCACATAGATAGATTGTGTAGAAACACAAGCAAAGAGGCATTAGCAATCACTCACAAATCGACATATAAACGTTTTTTCATTATTTTTATTTTTTTGAGAGAAGACACTACCGTTTTACTTTCCCTGCTTGTAGATCAAACGGGTCGAGTTTAAGAAGAGAACAGAGAAAAGACGAAAGCTGTAATGTCACGACGGGTTCACTACTTACATTTGATGGGCTTACCCTTCTCGGTGTAAGAGACGGTGTGCCCAGGGGGGAAATACCAAATGGCAAATCAATAACGGCGGTTGTTTTACTGCCATTTAAGTCGTGTTTGTGTGAATTCACCACAATAAGTGAGCGTACAACAAATCGTGAGGCAATTCCACGAATAAACTCCGAGACGAGAACTTTCAAAAGAACGATGGCGGCAAGGGATAGCACGAAGAGGAGGGGTGTGTGCGCTAGCAAGAAATTGGCAAATGGGTAAACACTCCATAGCAGTAAAGCCACATAAGGGAGTGGAATAAAACCCGTACGTTTTACGTAATTTGGAAAGAAACCGGAGCTTGGTGAGAGAAGTCCTCGCACGTCGTCTGTTTTCCTCAATGGATCATCCACGCAACGTACCTGAAACCCTGCAAGTCGCCACAGCACCGTCTCTGAAGCCATATCGACTAGTACCAGTTGTGAATAGCAGCGATAGACGCCAAGGGAAATGCCATTGAACTTGGCCACAAAGAGATGTTTTATATAATCAATAAAGACTTCTGCTAATAAAACTAATAAAGTATCGGCAATGCCAAGAACATCAAATTGTTCATACATGTGTTGCATTACCATAACAAGAACAAATAAAAAAAACTTTAACCGTTCAATGGCGTCTGCCGCAGCCACCTGCAAGAGGGATTCCCTGTTATGTTTTTTATACACCACTCCCTTTATCTCACTAAAATTGTTGCTTATCATCAATGCCAATAAGAGATGACCTTCCGCATTCACAGCGACATTAAGTGTAACGACTGAGAGCAGCAATGTCACTGCATGCGCTGCGACACACACAGCTGAAAGCACAGCACTACCAATCGGCAACCACAGTGAACGCTGCACCGTCACGTTGCTCTTACGATACTGTGTACTACCCCGACCCCATCCTTGTACACATACAGTCAATACTTCTATCGCCTCCTGCGAGAGAGCTGAGAGAAGTCTGTCGGCGACCTCAAGAATGTTAAACACCATCACAAGTTTTATAAATGATGTACGCCGCACCACGTGGTAAAGGTAGGCGTACAATTGAGTTGTATATATAGAGAGAGAACCGTATGTGAGCATCCCAAAGATAATGAGCACCAACGCAACCGCATCACGCCGTTCAAAACGTGAGAATGCCACCAGACATTTGAGTGGAAGTAACAACAGTGAGAGAATGTTCTCTGCCAAGCTCAGCATTGTAACCGCAAAGTAGAACTCAATGTCTACAAGCATCTCTGGCATACGCAAGAAGTGCTGGAGCATCTCATCAAACCGCATATCCCTCGTACCATCAGAGGAATCATCTCCGTTGCTCGGAGTTTGACCCGCCCGCTCCCTCTGAGTTGCCCCAAACAGACCACGCACTAATTCTTCTCTCATCTTATTCATTCCCTTTCCCTAGGGAAATAAAAATGGGAAAAAGAATCAGAAACAAGAAACACAAAGTAAGTGAGGGAAAAGTAGAAAAGTGGAAACAACAAAAGAAGACAACAATAAAAGGGAGAGAAAATAATAATAATAATAATAATAATAATAACACGAAAGCGAAAAAAAAAAGAAAACTTCTTACCAACTCGACACTCCCTATTGAACAGACAGTTTTTTTTTTTAGGGATAAAACAAATAAATACTTGTAAAAATAGTAATAATAAATAAACGATATATAAAGAGAAAGAAACAACAAAAAAAAAAGGCATGGGAAAAAACTCCCATCTTGTCATTCTTTTTAAACTACTACTTGTTCTTGTAGTCTTTCCACTACGTGTGCGAATTGTCCATCACCTAATTTCTGACCCTTCTTTGTTTTACGTCTCTCTTCTTTCGCCATATCCTGAACGGCTCTCCTCACTCGTTCAATGAATGGCACAATCTCAGCAAAAACATCTTCCGGTTTTTTCTTCCCATCCTTTATACCAAAGTACTTCAAGAACTTTGAGCGTGTCTGATCGAGTTGATTAAATTGTTCCTTTACTTCCTTTAATTCTGCCGTCACTCGCATGGTAAACTCCACAGAAAATGGGATGAATGGATCTTCTGCGTCTGTGCCAAGTTCCACTAATTTTTTCTTAACGAACGTACAGTTATTGTTAAACACCTGCACTGCTTTCTCTGCCTCTTGAATAGCAGACTCAATATCTATCCAGCTGATTTGCATAATATTCGCTGTCAGCATGGGTTTCATTTCATCCACAATGTGCAGTGCATTCGGGAGGTGCGTCTTTACAGTATTGACAAGATACGCAAAGAGTGACATTTTTCCTCTATTATCCTTCGTCAACTCCAATTTGCCAAGGAGACTTAAATCCACTGCCCCAGCATTGCCTCTTCGGGCATCACCGTAATTCATCATATTGCCAAACCCAAGCAACAATCCAAGGAAATATGGTAAATATTTACTGTTCAACACAGCTGTCATACTCTCCCGCATACGGTGCATGGGTTTCAGAACAGCTTGTCGACTCTCTTCCCACTCCATTGAAAAAAGCCACGCAGAGATACGTCGTTTAAATTCAGGCATAGTAATCATCATAGCCATATACTTTTCTTGTGGTTCATACTCCTCTTCTGGTTTTTTACCGGCATTCTTTAAGAATGCGGTGCGTACCTCATCTGTAGGGACCTGTGCGAGCATAGCCGTTAGCACCTCGCGTGGAAGAACATTCGCATCCAACTCAAGCAGGGCGTGCTGTACATTGGGGATACTCGGAAGTTTGTGTAGAACAATAGAGAGATTTCGATGTACATCCTCACGCAAGAGGAGCACCTTTTGTGGCTTTGCTGGAGCTGATGGTTTCACCTCAACTTCCTTCTGAGAGAAGAGTTGTTCAAACTCTGCATAGTTAAAGGAGGTATCACACGTTTTCCCATTATTTACTAAAGCCCAGACAGAATCTTCGCCATCAGAAAGTGGTAGTTTTTCCCAATGGAGAGGTTTCATCCGTTTTGTTGGAGCAGGCCCCTTAAAGAAGATCTGAGAGGATGCTGCTGGTGTTGTTTTCGTTGTGGATGATGATATGGATGTTGGTGCTTTCTTTCCACCCGCCGGTGGTGGTGGCGGTGGGGCACTTTTTTTGCCTCCCGGCGGCGGCGGCGGCGGTGGCGGCGGTGATGATAACACAGACTGTTGTGATGGTTTTGATTCTGCTGCTCCGTTAGCTGCGGTCCCATCTCTCCTATTGACATCATTATTATCATGATTATTATTACCATTATTATTATTATTATTATTATTATTATTATTATTATTATTATTATTATTATTGTTATTAGTATTAGTATTGTTAGTATTAATATTAGTAGTATTATTATTATTGTTGTTGTTGCGGCGGTGGTGGTAATTCTCTTCCGCCTCATCCTCCTCCTCGCCGTCTGGGGGTGGTGCGTCACTCTCATCACTTGGCGGCGGCATCATATCATCATTATCAATATCATCATCAGATGGAGGTGCGAGTAACTCATCATCACTGTTAATACCGTTAGCTTCCGCTGTGTAAAGGCCTTGTGCTGCGGCTCCACGTCCACCGACGAGTTTTGTTACAATGGGTTGTATATCTTCAGCGGTAATAAACTTCTGCACGAGTGCCATACGTGTAGCAGCAATATCGTTATGTGCCTGATTCATATCGATTGGTTCCATCTTGTTAGAGGCCAGTGTATCAATGTGTAGACCACCACCAGCGCGAAACCGTCTTGCTGGGTGATAATTCACTGAAGCTGTAGGCATAAGAAGACTCATCGCCCGCACCGTTTCATGTGCACGCTCTAACTCCTGCTTTAACATCCGCACTTTTGCCTGTTGCTGTTGAAATACGTAAAGTGTTTCCATGGCAGCATCACATTTACGTTTTGCCTCTTCATACTGCATTCGATATTTACTTGCCTCTTCCCAACTACGTGGAATAGTGAGATTGGATAGTCGTTGAAAGTTTGATAATTGTTTCATTACATCCGCATCTTCAATAACGGTTAGTCGTTTCAGCAGTGACACTGCACCGCACTCTTTCCAGCGGAAAATTAACTTCTTTGCCTTTATTTCCGACAACTCCTTTTTCTTCTTCAGAAGAATATTCATAAAGAGGAGTGTGCTGTGTGTGGCGAGGAGGTCGTCGCTGCTCAACAGTGGCACCAGCGGGGCGTATGGCAACATCCCAACACCCACACGTTTCTTCGCCGCGCGGTTAATTAATTTGTGTCCGCCCTCCACCATTCCGCAGATCACAATAAGAGTTTCGAGTGTTGGTTTGGCAATATTGAGTGGAACGGCCGTGCCGTCCGGCGGTGGGACCAACAAACCGTAAATGCGCTCCACGAGCTCCGGCGACTCGGCGATCTGTTCAACGGCATTCACGTAGACGAGAAGATTGCGGAGAACGCTGAGCATTGCCGCCTGCAAGTTACCGCTCGCTGTTCGTATTTGATGAAGAAGAATATTCAGCCCGTCCTCCTCGAGAAACTGCTCGGCGAACTCCGTGTTCTGCAGGAGTGTGTTCAGCTCCAGCACCAACATGCGCTTCCGCTGTCCTTGATTGTCATCATGCAGTAATATATCAATAGCGTCGCGAACAGACGTGCCGCCCAACGGCGGGCGGGAAATAATATCCGCTGCGGCCATCACAGACAACAGCCGCCCCTTTACACTTCAGAAAAGTCTAGTGTCTCTAAAGAAAAATAATAGACAACAAGTCTGAAGAAACGGAAATACCAAATTGATATATGCACATCAGTAATCACCACATCAATACTAATACCAATAATAAATAATAGTAATAATAATAATAAAACAACATGGTATTTATGAGTCAGGTACGTCTCTGCTCATAAAAAGGAAATATCAAGAAAAGGACCACAGTAGTTTTAACACAAGCAAGATGAAAACAAGAAAACAACAACAACAACAAAAAAAAAAACAACGAAAAATAATAGTGCTACACAAAAATACAAAATATCTTTGCGTCTTGCTTTCATTGTTTTTCTTGTTGTCAAACTGGGTTTGCAAATAAACAGTAACAATAACAATAATAATAATAATGAAACAACCTCTCCATCTCACCTCTTTTTCTCTCTTGCAGTTTCAATGACGAGCACCACAGAACGCAAGAAAGAAAAAAGAAGAAAAATGAGAGGCGAAAAAAAAAGGAAATTCTAATCAAACCACACTGTGTTGTTTCTTCGCATCATCGTATCGAGCTGGAAGTGCCTCCTGCAAACGTGAGTTGAGTGCTGCCAATGCAATCGATCGATGTCGCTCCGCATCCTCTTGTGTAGATCCCGGCAGTAGAGTGACATTGGCGGCACTGCGCAGGACTGGAATCGTCACGGCACCCTCCACAAATCCGGTGTTGCCGCCTTCGTTCCCCTGCGAGCCCCCGTTTCCAGTGAAGTTTGAGAGACACCTCAAGAAGATTGGGTACAGCAGCACGTGAAAGGCAATTGGGGTGTTCATGTGGAAGTGCCGCTGCAGCATCCATGAGCTGCAAAGACCTAAAAAGGCGGGAATGAATACACTGCCTGGAAAGATGGTTTCACTATCAATATGCTCATCACTAATTTTCTGTTTTCTACGAAATATCAAGTCAATGATAAGTGCAAAGGCGAGCAGTATGGTGGGCACATGCCGCCGCTGCACTTGTGTGGGAATTAACTGCGGCGCTGCACTTGCCGTTGGGGATATTGCGACCCACGGCACCAGAACAGCCGCGGCGAGTGGCCAAATACCGCAATAACACTGCAGAAACCACGAGAAGCCCACTTGATAGAGAAGTGCACTCAACACCAGTAGAATCAAGGAAGTTATCAGGGCCGTCACTAGCGTTAATTGCATGAATGTAGATGTGCCCACGGCAGCCTCCACCGCCCCGCCAATTGTCAGCATGAACCCAACGCTGCATGCACAGAGAATAATGTTGGGCTCCACAAAGACGTAACTGACAACATTCCACGGGTAGCTATGAACAGAGAATGTGTGTGCTGGTATGAGACCAAACACACGCGGCACTATTGTTGACCAAAGACCAAGCACCGCCGTCACACAGAGCGACACCGCAATGATCTTGCTAGCACTGGTACTGCTACTACTACTACTACCACCTGCCATACACGTTCTCTCTCTTTTTTTTCCCTATTTCTTCTTTTACAATGAGACCACCAAACATGGAAGTTTTTCAAACCATTCAACATTATCAAACCCCGAGAAAAAAGAAAACAAAAAGGGAAATTAGATGAAAATGCAGCAACGAAATAACAATCCTTCAAACCCAGGGAATAGTGCATGGACACAGAAATAAAATAAAAAACTCACCAGAACAAAGGAAATATATATATATATATATATATATATATAATTACGTGGTGTAAAAATTCAATGTGAGAATAAAATAGAGTATAAACAACAACAACAACAACAACTAACACAATTTCCAAAAAAAAAAAAAAAAAGAAGAGACTTCTCCTCAAACGCCACAGTTCTCTGTAGATTGTGCGATCCATCCACTCGCCAGCACGAATAAAGATGCAGCACTATCCACATCACACTTCTTACGAAGCGGCCAATACGCCACGAGTGCCTGTCCAGCAGTTAGAGCTCGTACAGGGGCATTAAATACAACAGTGGCACAACTAACACGAATGCAGTCATTCGACTCATGTACATTACACAACGCAAAACACAAAGTGGCTTGACGAAGAGGCTCCTGATGTCGTGCACAACAAAGACAATCAATACGTATTTCTTCCGTATATTGCCCAAGAGAACGGGGATGAAGTGAGAGTACCACATCCTCCAACTCTACCACACTCTTGTACAACAGTGGATGATCCCAGCGGTCCACCAACCACACAGTTCGCAAAAAACGCAGACCATCTTCTTCTTCTTCTTCTTCTTCTTCTTTTCCTCCATTAGATTCCTGTAATGGAAATAACTCTTTATTCTGTACGTAGTAACGCAGACTACGCCCGTCATGGTCCTTACCACGGATCAACTGACCAAGCGTTACACTGTACGCAGGAAGTACAGATCGGGTATATCTTCCAAACAAGAGAAGTTTGGATGCATCAATTTCATTTCCTGTTTCAGCGTTCACAAATGTCGTTTTACCCCCGCTTGCTACAATCTGCTCAAGAGTGACATTATTTGGGTCAATATACTCTTCTAGAAATGAACTGAAACCACCTCCAGGATTACCTTTTCCGTTATCATTATCACTATTATTCTTATCATGTGATTTACGTTTGTAATGTTCACCAACAAAACATATCCCAGTACTTGTTTTCTTTTTACAAACAGGTGTCAAACCAAAGTAAGTTGCCACAGCGCGTACATCGGTTTTTCGCTCAAACACATGACCCAGTGGAAATAACGCCTTAGAAGCCTGTAATGTAGAAAGACGAGATAAAAACACAGTTTGATCGTTAAGGTCTCGCCCTGCAGAAAATGGTCTCGCTATCACCTGCACCTTATCACCTCTGTCATTATCATCGCATGGAAAGAGTGCAGTCCTGGCATAATGGCCGGTAGCAATGTAATGTGCTTTCCCTGAGTTAAGTAAGGTGTGTAAAAAGACATGAAATTTCACCTCAGAATTACACAAGATATCCACATTCAGTGTGGCCCCACGAGCGTAGGCATCCAACATGGGCTCAAAGCATTTTTCTACATAATGAGCACTGAAATTGTGCAGCGGCATCATCTCTCCGTTGCGCAGTAAACCAATCGAGCGGGCGATTTCAGTGGCATCGTTGTAGTCCTGCTGTGCGGCTTCACACCAACTAGGACGACTACCATGTACTTCTGCGGCATCTTCCCAGTTCTTCATAAATACTGGAAAATAGTGAACAGGTGCCGTCAGATCATAATGAGATCTTCTCATCGTTTCGCATGGAGTTTGAAGTACATCAGACCAAGAACGATGCTGTTCCAGAATCTTCTGTATCTCACTCAACGACAATGGATACTTCAAACTGCAGAGAGCCTCAACATCACGCCATTGGGGTGCGCAACGTTTGAGCAGCAATGCTACAACGGCGCTATCTACTCCACCTGACAAGGCAACCGCCACACGCACAACAGTAGAAGGCATTTACAGTGTTTCTTTTCTTCTGCCTATACACACAGACGTAAACAGAAGCATATAAACATATATATATATATTCCAGGACTACCTATACCAAATTAACCGAATTGGTCATCTGATCCGTGCAGAAAGGGAGTGAAAAGGATAAAAAAGAAAAAAAAAAAAAGATCACCGTACGATAATATTGCAAAACATACCGAATTGAATTTTTAAAAAAGTGTAATCTGATATAAATATGGGATAACGAACGAGAAAGTGAGAAAAAAAAAAGCAAAGTAAAGTAGATGAGATATGTACTTTAATCACTTGATGCATTTGATAAAAAGAAAAAAAAAAAACAAATACCAACTTTACTTCACAGATTGGAACATCATCTCACTTCATGTATATTTGATATTATTCATCCGTACCGTCGATTCCATTCGCCTGGCTCGGTGGTGACAGCAACATTGGATCCTCTTCACACAGTGGGACTCCTATTTCTGGTACAAATCCCTGTTGATGAGCGGTGATGTACCAGGCAAAGTAATCACGAATAGACACAATAACCGTTCCGGCTGACACTGAAAGTAATCGCACCAGACTCAAGAATACGTCAGGTTTTCTCGCAATACATTCAAGCTCCTCACGTTTTACGGTCGTGAGTGAAGATTTCTCAGCGTCTGTTTGTTGTATAATAGTCTTTATCCAATGCGATACTACAGAGGAAAGTTCCTGATACATTCCTACATTGCAACTGCGCATGTGTTGTTGTTCCCGTGGACTCATTCGCTGCATAGCGAGACTTTCAGCTGTTCCTTCAACATTCTTTTGCGCCTCTCGTGTACTTAGGGTTGACTTCTGTACAATAGATGTACCTCGTAATATTTCTACCATCACTCCATGCAGTTTGTCAATCCTCTCACGAATGGCAAGAGTCAGAAAAGCGTTCAACGCCCCTCGAATAGCGGCGTGTGGGAGAAGGGCACTACTTTTACTTAATGATGGTGCATCACGTCCCTTTTGAATGGATCTTGCCACGAAATTCTCCATCTCAACAAAGTGGTTTACTCGCCAGAGAATCGCAAAAAACGTACCCGCAGTTTCTAATACCAATTCGGCTGTCGTCTCAAGATCTACTGGTGGAGGTCCCCAAACATCGGGATGCTGCCGCCATTGTTGTGGATCAACTGTACCATCGTCATCATCACCGTTTCTATTACCAACACCAATACTACTACTACTATTATTACTATTATTATTATTATTATTATTATTATTATTATTATTATTATTATTATTAATTTTGGTATCATTATGATTTATACCAAAATCACCAACATTATCTTCATTGTGAGAGCAAAATGAAGCACCTTCTAAAATCTTTGGAAGAGGTGATAGTAGTTGAGCCATCAGTGTACAATACTCCACCAACTGTTCGTCTGTAACTACATCAGAGTGTGATGAAATCCAGGTTCCCCGTAATGATCGAGAGAATTCCTCTCTATCTACAGCAATACTAGTTTGCTCCTCGAGAAAAATTGTAGCACTATTGTAGCTTCCCGTTATTTCATAGGCTTCTGCACTCCAGAGCAATTGCATAGCATCAGCGGCTGCTTGTTTGTACTCTCCTAATACTTCTGAGTTTTCTTCTTGAAGCCATTGTCGACCCACATGATCGGCATTTGCTGGCACAATGAGGCGCACAGGAACGCAGAGACCAAAGAGAACAAAACTAACACATTCCGCTACAGTGCGAAGAGATAAAAGACTCTTTGGGCTGCCACTTCGACTCGATTGACGTCTAATGGCGAAAGAAGCACACTGCATAAGAGAACGAATGGCTATTGTACGCACTTGATAAGTAGAGCGTGGGGAAACCACCAGAGGGACCATGCAATATTTCATCACAAAAGAGACAAGAGAGTCCAAGTGGTCTGGAGGAACTTCTGATAACAACTCATGAGACATGAAATTCATTATTGACGGTAATGTCGCACGAAATGACGTGAGTGAACATTTACGCATGGAAGATGGAACTCGGATATCAAACAATATATAACTAAGAAGAGCGGGATCTGTCATGGAAGTCTCTTGCTCTGTGGTGGCGTGTCCAAGAGATGCCTCTAACACTGTATTAGAGAGATGTACTGCAAGATGGTGTATCTGAGATGGTTTAAGTTGCATTACAAGTGCACGTAAGAGAGTGATAACTTCTGTTCTTGTTTGTTGTGCTTGACAACGTAACAAAAAACATAATCGTTCTAAAGAATGAAGTACAAGAATATCTGGTTGCCTCTCAACACCTTCAACGAAATGTTGAAGTAACAAAACATGTTTTTTAAACTCAGGATTATTCATTTTAGGGTCTTTATCCTCATTCAATAGAGTTTTCTTGTCTTTAGAAGATATAATCGTATCATCATCATTCAAAGCTGTGGTACAAATAGTAGAAAATTGTGCTAAACACGACTGCGCACTATCTACATCTCCACACATACCTCCAATATATGCCACATTTGAGAGAAGTAAAAGTAATATATCTCTTGATTTCTTATGCAACTGAATATCAAGAGTTATACCACCATCCCCACAGAAAAGAACAATAAGTTTTCTAAGCACATGAACGGCTAAACTACATGTTTCTGTTCCTACACTATTTTTTTCACATAATGTACGTGCCAGAGGTTGCAATACTTGTTGCCATACTAATGCCATGGTATATAATTTTTCAGAGTTTAAACCAACTGGTTTAGTCCCTATACTTCCAACGGCATGCATAGTTCGTGAAATAAGTTCTTTGATACCTTGTAATAGATGCATTAGGACTACTGGATGCGTTTTACACCGCTCATAACACCGTTGAAAGAATACAAAACATTCAGCAATTTCATATTGAGAGCAAAATCCCTTTGAATCTATATCACATATACAAGAAATCCAAACAGTGGTTAGAATATCGACAACAAACTCCAACAGAACATGCATGTACTCATCTCCCCTTCCACTTCCCGCATCCACTACATCAATCAACACTGGAATAATAATTTCACTGAAATCCCGCACATTCACAAGGTTTCTCACTACTGTCTCTTGATGTTTTTCGTGTGAAATGAGGGAATAACTAAGAGCACGCCGCAATACGTATAATACAGCTGTTAGAGTGGATTCATCAATACTTGTATCCTTCATCACAGTAGTGATACCATGAAGCATTTCCTGTACTACACCTTTATAAACCCTCGTGAGATCATCCGCCTCTTCCGTTCTAATTGAAGCTGCACGTGTAAATTCTTCCATCCGACCAAATACGGACTCTGCCTGCACTAATAACTTTTGAGGGTGTTTGTGACTGTTCACGAGTATTTCTACCACTGGAACCCACAAACGCACGGAGAAGTTCACACTGTGCATTGTTGCCGCTATCTCCAGTACACAGCCATTACACAAATCCCGAACGGGTTCAAATGAAGCCATGCGCAGTAGTGCGTGCTGAGAGACGCCGCACTCCGTCTGCAGTCCAAAGGCCGCGGCGACGAGAAAACTGCTGCGCAAACCCCGCACGCAGAGCAGTAGGGCCTCCTCCGGCACCTGCGATCCATGCAAGGCCACACCGAACACCGCGCAGAGCGAGGGCCACGTGCTGAGAAACAAATCCTGCGCAACACTACACCAAAACGCAGGGGGTTTAATCTCCGTATCCACTTCCAGTCTGCTGTGCCGGCAAAGCAATTCCTGCGTTTCACTTGCGAGTCGTTGTCGAACTACACCGAATGCCAACTCCCGACGTTCTTCACTAGAAAAAAATATAGAGTCCATCTTTCCTGAGAGTGGGACAGTCGCATATCGTGCACCACTATTCATTCCAGCCGACCAAAAACCTTTCATACTATCAAGTGAATGTAAACTAATATCATCAAATATATTGTTTGTAAAACGTTCCGAAAAATCTTTACCTTCATTACAACCTCGCAATTGTGAATGAAACGTAGAGGCCGTCATTTTTAATGATGAAACATGTGGATTATAGAGGTTCGTATTTAGCATAAGTACCGCTACTCCTGCAATAAAGCACGCATTCTCTGATTCAAATGGAAATATCTCACGATCTACTCCTTCAACAGCATTCATTTTATAATATGCACTAGAGAAAAATTCGAGAAGGCGTTCAATACGTTGACCTTCTTTGGGTAATAAAACAATTTTAAATAATTCTCGTAGTCCTTCTACAAGGCCTTTTCCTGCTAACGGTAACGCATCCATAAAAGATTGACAAACTTGTAGTGTAAGAACAGATGGGTAAGAAAGAAACTCGGCGACGGATTCAGGATTCAAAGATGGTGTTTCCATAAGAAATTGTGTAATTTGACGTACTTTCTCTTCTGCTGCTGGAGAAGCTGGTGGTGGAATATGTTGATGTGACCAATCCTTTTCTGCAGCTTCACAACCTTTATTATCCAAGTTCATATCTTCATCCGTGATATTAAACAATTTTTTTATACCCTTTACAGGAGAACTGTTAATAACATCAACTAAACGTTGTTCTTTCATCTTTTTCTCTCGATTTGGTAATTTTGTGCAAATTTTCTTTATGGCTACATCTTTTTCTTGAGGAATATACATTGTAAGTAATTCCACTGCTAATGAAAGACCTTGAAGTGCAAGAAATGGTAAAGATTTCTGCATCGTTGTTGAATCTTCACTTTCTCTCTCTAGATCTTCTGTGTCCGCAAATTCTTCCGGTGCAGCACAACGTACTGCCTTTGACAAGGTTGCGACTGCCTGTTGTACAATATTTAACTGATGCCAACGGATGTTGAGATCAAAATGATTATAGAGCCGCAAGAGCAGAGATGGTTGAACATTGGCACCTGATCCCCTAAAGAAAGTATTGACAACATGTTGAAGGAGTTCTCTCCTCATGGCAGATGGTGTGCTGTCTGACTCCAGCAGTCCAAATACACCACTGGTGTACAGAAATCCAATTTCAGAGCCAAGATATTCAGGACACCCCACAACAATGCGGTTAAGAATATCTAATCCAGCCTTTAACACCCCTCTTTGCAGTGAAACAATACAATTAAGAACGCCTTCTGCTATACGCGCTCTCCAAGTGGTGACTCCTAATACATACCGTAGTTCGTCCACATCTGTATCAGCTAATTTTTTTACAGTTTCATTCAGAATCTGCACAGCCACAAGTTGACCGTTATTCTGATCCCCACAGTGCTGTGCAATGCACGAAATGTACTCTGGTGAGAAGGCTATAGGTAGTAGTGATTCCACCACAGAATGAGCCACAACTTGATGCCAAAGCGGATTTGCAGTGGTAACATTCTCCAAGTCTGGCAAAGAGCTTGTACGCAACATACCACTCGGTGGTGTTCGCTCACGGGTGTTCTCTAACTCTTTTTCATTCCCGGCCGCATCTTCCGGTAATGACGACTGTCGCTTCCGTCGTTTGGATCGCGCGGTGGTGGATACCCATTGGGCCAAACCAAAAAGATTTGCGCACACATCACCTTTAAGTGTTCGTAACTCCTGCGATCCCGCAGTCTCCTTTAGTGCGGCAACAGTGATCAAATAACGTACAGCGGGGCGAACAAGATCTATAAGTCTTTCAATACTTGTAAGCAACGCTGGTCCTAAAAGCACCCGTAACTCGTCCATTCGTCGTTGGGCAGCACATCTTGCATTCACCGTTTCCGCAGCGGTAGAACTTGAACTTGTAGAAGAAACTCCCATCACACGAAAGTGACGAATCTCTTCTCGTACAAATCGTTGCTCAAATAGAACGAGGCACTGTCGCAGTTGTTTCAATATGTCAACGCATACTTGTGCCCCAAAACGTGTGGAAAAATGATCTGAAGGAGCTGTAAGAAGATCAAGAAATTTCAGAATAGCATTGGTGGAAACCCTAATATCACGTGAAAGATGAACAAATAGTGAAGAACGTGTAATACGGTTTTCTCCACTATTATTCTTCTCATCAGACTTATCCGTCTCACGTGTTTCTGTGTATATCTCACGTACCACTTGTTGTAGTGCGTTTGTAATGATAGAAAAACAGCGCACAATGGCGAGACGGGCTGCATTACGTCCTACATTACGTAACTTTACGGTTTCCTGAATACCACTAGCAAAAAACATACGAAGAAATTCTGCAAAATCCTCTAAATTTCGAGTTTCAAAACAGCTTGACAAAGAATTAACACCATTTTGTGATCCGCCAAAAGATGTGGTGCTTCCTTCGCGTATTATTTCAACTGTAAAGGAAGAGAGTTCATCCGCACGAGGTGGAGTTGGAACACCAGGAACAGCTCCTCCTGATCCCGAGGCCCGCAAAACATTAGAGGAACTTTTGTTATTATTACTGGTGCTACTTTCGAGGTCCCCATCCACTTCCGATGAATCCACTTGTTGTTGTGGTTGTTGCTCTGGGGTCCCTGCTAGTGTAAGTGGGGTGCCTGAAGGTGGTGTGCAAATGGATGGTCGCGGTGCCCCCACCTCTCCCACCTCCTTCACCCATTCTTCTATGCTGGTCTGGATCTCCTTCAGTTTGCCCTTTTGATTCCCACCAAGGATGTGCCTCGCCTGAAGTAGAAGAGCGCGCAGTTGAACCAAAAACGCAGCACGATTCTCTAAGTCGGCTGCTGGCTTTTGCGCAAGCCCCTGCATTACCAAAAATATTTAGCTATCGGCTAATACGTGATTGGAGTGTATATATATATATATATTATTTATGCAAAGAGAGAAAAAGTAGAATGGAAATAGTTAGATAAACAAGTAAATAAGTAAATAAATAACAAGTAGAAAAAACCAAAGGGGAAAGTATACACACTCACAGTCACAAATAATAATAATAATAATAATAATAATAATAATAATACAATATGAAGGGGAAAAGAGGTAATATATATATAAAGAAAGAGGGAAAGAGTAGTTTCACTACTGCAAGGCCTCACCTACACATTCTATAAGACGTATAGGAAGACTTTTTTTCTCCCTCACGTTACAGTTACTATAATGGTACGTTAGTTTCTGCTGCATTACGGATAAAAGTTCATCAAATTGCAAGACACCATCACCATTGCGATCAAACAAAGCCATAATAAGATCTAATTCAACATTTTCCATTGGTGGAAGACCAGCTGCTTTTATTGCACGATTGAAGTCATTCTTACGCAAAGGGAGACCCGAGGAGGTAAAAAGTTCTACTGATTCTGTTATCGCATCTGCGTGCTGCATAACTCGGTGAAAACTGATCCACAGTTCAAGTGTCATGGTATCTCCACTACCACGCATTTTTCTTATGTTTTCAACGATATAAAATGGAACATGACTTCCAATCATTTGGTTTGCGATGAGTTTTCCAAACTGCTCAGCGGTTATTTTATCATTACGATCAGTGTCAAACTGACGAAACTCAGCCTTCCAGACCTCTTCATTCAGATTTTCAATAGTTTCTTCAATCTCCTTGTATGTACAGCGACCCTCTCCATTCTCACCAAAGAGTCTTTTCACAATACCATTCTTATAACCACGTGTTAATATCTCTGACTCCGCTGGATCACAACCAAGTCCTCGTAAAACCCCTGCAAATTCCTGAAGGTTAATAGCACCAAGGCGGTCTTTATCCACTATGGTAAAGAGCATTCGGACATCATCTAATTTTGCTGTTAATAATAACATTAAAAAAGAAAACTCAGAGAAACTAATGTATGTATTACCATCGGCATCCAATTCACGGAAAAGTTGCTCCAGTCCCTCCACTACTGAGGGATGTAAGGGTTCATTGTTCTTTGACGCCAGTACAGCACGTACAAAATCATCCACAGTCATATACTTTGGTCCACCTTTACATTTACGGTGAGTTGCGTAGTGTTTGAAGCGTGTCTTGACATCACGTAAATAGTACGGGATGAGATAATCGGGTGTATCCAGAGGCCGACAGAGCGCAACACCAGCGCCAAGTGTAGCCACAACACACCAAGCAGCACTAAAGGCAAAAATGATTCTCGTCATTGAAAAGAAATGATACCATCGATGTACAGCACATGTGAATTGTCGTCGACACCATTCCCCGCTATCATGAAGGCGACGGTTCCATCGCAGCGGGTCTCGAGCGGGCCGCCAGAGAACCCGAAGGAGAGAGCGCATGAGAAGCTATGAGAGAACTGTTAGTTACAAATAATGGAATCAAAAAATAAAAAATAAAAAATAAAGAAGAGAAACTAATCAGATCGAAATGCCAAAATAATTTAAAAAATCAAAAATAATAATAATAATAACAACAACAAGAACGAAAGAAAAAAAAAAAGAGAAATAATAAATGAGGGTAAGTTCACCTTGCAAACTCACACGAGATTAAGGGTGTGACAGCCACACACACGTACACACACACACACACTCTCTCTCTTTCTCGCTTTTAAGCAGAAACCCGGTTCTCCTTTACTATTCCTTTTTCATCTCCTCTGGGCACAAAATGCCTACCACTGCCGCTGCATCTCCACTCACATTGAAATACTGCGCCATGTCAACAACATCTCTGGGTTCAACTGCCAGTATGGCGTTCCGCATCGCCTGTTTCTGATCTGGTTGTATATCATGAAGAAAGTAGGACTCACCATAACTGTCAACAGAATAAGGTGCATCAATGCTGGAAAACATACGAAGCTTCGCCTCATCAATCTTTACCTGCGTAATATTACCAGAGTCACTAAGCCATTCAGAAACCTCCTTAAAAACAGAAACCGTTTGCTCCGGTGTGGGATCTCGGTAGCTCGACATTGTTATACCGCCAACTTCCCCATTAAGAGTGGCGGATGCCCCTGATCCATACGCTCCTCCCTCCTCACGTATACGGCGATGCAAATACTCATTGCTGAGCAGTTGACATGCCACACGAAGAGGAGCCTGGTGTGGATGAACCCAGTCTAAATTGTTTGCAATAGCAATACCAGCGTAGGAAGTATCAATGGGTAACTCCTTTCGGAGTTGCGACAAACCAGGAGTTCGTTTTGTGGATGAAAATGAGAGACGTGTTGAAGGAGTCTCTGTAGTAGAACTTACATCTGGAAAGTCACGTAGAAATTCTGTTAACATGGTTTCCACTTCCGTACGATGTCCTTCTTCACAAGTAGCCCAAAGGATACCACGACGAATGTTTGATGCCAATGATTTGGCAAATATCTCATGGGATTTCAATATTCCAGTAATGGCTTCACGTACAACTGCTTCTTCAGCACTCTGTAGTTTCTCAAGTATAAGAGAAGCATGTGTTGATTGTGCCAGACCAGTCCACTCTTCCTTTACAGCACCACATGGAGTTAAATGTGAAACTGCAAGAGTCGTGGCGACTCTGTTACCGTTACGTTGTATTCGCTGAATAACTCCAGAACAACGTGCCTTTACAAGAGAAAGTGCACGAGAACGGACCTCGTCATTCTCAGGTGAAGTTTGTGGTTCAAGAAGAGTTACTTTAAGGAGGTTCAATGCTTCCCGTAACTTTTCTTTAGTTGTAAAGAAACCATAGGATGTACCAACGATATAATCTGAACTTTGACGATACGACTGGTTAAGTTGTGGGGAAAAGGTAAAACCCCCACAAACCAAATCAGTCGCAATAGAAAGTTCCTTGTATGAATATTGACCTGCACCCAAATTTCCCAAAAGTGAATTCCACAAAGGAACATCTATCAAAGATTCTCGTACACAATCTAAAATAGATGTGATTAATGATGTGTGGAACGGTGCAAGTCCATGGACATATACAAGTCCATTTGTTGGACAAGCAATCGTATGTAAAGAGTTACTATCCTTTAATTCCACTAACTTTGGGGAAGGTTCTTGGAATGATTCACGGGGGATATCTTTGATAGTTAATGTGGGAAGAATATCATCATTTTGGGGTGCCCGAATACGTTCCAACCATTTTGTTGTTTCTGTTTCGATTTCTTCTTTTTTGGTATCAGAAACATCTTTATTCAATTTCTCTTCCATTTGAGTTAATGTGTCACGCATAGAATCCAGAAATTCTTTCTTTGCAGATACAGACACTAGTGCTCTGTGAGGATTATTGGTAAGATTTTTGGAAATACGTGGAAGAAGTGTCTTTGCTTGTTGCTCTCCCAATCTTCTTAAATGTGGGAGCCAGTCAATGAAATCAAGAGGATTGTTTCGTGCACGACATAACCCCATCATACATAGACCGGCGCACAAATTCACTCCATACTCAGCAGCGCGATGACGTTGTTGTAATTCCTCCTGAAAAATAACAGATTTCACTCTTCGCTGATCAAAACCTTCTTTTTCCACATTTTGTAGGGTTGAGATAACAGCATTCAATACTTCATCCTCTGCATTGGGACGATTCTCATCTACACCCTCTACACCATATGAGATAAAGGGTGAGGAAAGAAAACTTGAGTATCCTCGCATTGGGGCATAACGACTACCAATCTGTGATTCAATAAGCGCCTTATACAGCGGTGAACTTGGACCACTTGAAAGTAATGAATCCAATACACTTAATTCAACCATATCTTCTAACATATTATCTTCTTGTTGAACTCCAAATGAAACCGAGACACGCTTTTGGCGCTGTGGATTTCCCATAGGATTTAATGGACCTTCCAATGAAAACTTCTTAAGTTCTTTAAAACGATTTTCAGGTAAGAGAAAAGGGACTGTGACAGCTTCACCTCGAGAAAAGGAAGAAAAATACTCATTAAGAATTTTCATCCATTTATCTGGGTGTTGCTCACCATATGTAAAGGTGACGCTATTGCTGGGGTGATAGTGTTTCTTGTGAAAGGCCACAAGTTCTTCATATGTGAGTTTCAACACATCTGGTGGAAATCCTCCTGAAATATGTTCATAGTGTGTTCCGGGAAGCATTACTTTCATTAGTGAATGTGCATAGTGCTGTGATGGCTCTGACACCACCCCACGCATTTCATTGAATACAACCCCATTAAACACCAATCGTTTCCCCATCACCGGATCTGTTTCAATCTCTACACGATGTCCTTCTTGTTTAAAGTCTTCTTCACGCAACAATGGATGAAAGACGGCATCAAGATAAACATCAAGTAAGTTACAAAAATCCTGCGTATTTGTTGTTGCAAAGGGATACAAAGTATAATCATTACCAGTCATAGCATTCATAAAATTACTTAAAGATCGTCGTAACATCATAGTAAAGGGATCTCTTACGGGGTACTTCTTACTACCACATAATACAGTATGTTCTAAAACGTGTGTGGTTCCTTTGCTATTTTGAGCTGGTGTGCGAAATCCAATGCAAAATGTATTGTTTCGATCATCCGTATCAATATGGTAGTACATGGCTCCAGTAAGTTTATGCTGCCACTCATAGGCAACAATATTTAGTTCATCAATACGACGTGTAGCTTTATGTAAAAAGCCATGTGTGTTTTCGAAATTAATGAGTGATCTCCTTCTAACTGAAACATCTGCACATTTCCCTGCAGAACGATGTAATAGGCTACGGCGAATCATGTATTCTTCTTCTTCTTAGATAACGCAATTCCCCTAAACCAAAAGAATTAAAAAAAAAATAATAATAATAAAGAAAAGAAATTGGAAGTTACAAACCTTGGCCTTTAATAGAGGTCACAGGTTTCACTAAAGAAAATCTCAGCCGTTGTGGCAAACCAAACAGATGCGAGACCATGCAATAACACGAAGAAAAATAGCAGTAATAATAAAAATAATAATATCACACGCAGCAATAATAATAATAATAATTAAAAAAAAAAATTTGCGAAAAAAAAAAATTTATCAGTCGCTTATGTCATTGTATTTTCTACTTTGTGGATTTCTCGCACATTCAGCATATACAGCCTTTCACTATCCTTTTTCAAAAAAGAAAAAACAAACAAACAAACAAACAAAGAAAGAAACAAGAAAAAAAAAAAAAAATGGGGAGTCAAAATTTGTCTGGCGCACTGATTCCTTTACTTCACAGAAAAATAATTCTTTGGTTTTTTTTTTTTCTTCTTCTTCTACTACTACTTTTTTTTCTTCTTTCAGTGGCCACATTTACTTTACTCAGTCTTCTACCTCAATCACAGCGTTTTTGATGGCGCTACGACCTGTAGTTCCACCTCTGCCAACAGGCATATCGTTTTCATACATATCTGCAACTTCATCGTCATCAGTGCCAAATTGAACAAAGTATTGTCGGTTTTCACGGTATTTCACCATACCAAATACTATCATTCCTGTTACCATGATCACTGTAAGACATGCAAGCAAAACCACGACTGTGCGATCTCCATTACCTTTTGTGAAAAGAGGGTCATCTCCAAATGCAAAGAGGGAATTGATTCCCTTTACGGAAGCGATAGAAAGGTCTGTCAATATAGATGAGTTTTCTTTTCCAAGGGAGAGGATGTAATTTTGCCGTTCCATAGTATCACATGGACGTGTTTCCCCAAGATCTTCACAAAGGATGGAAATATACACCACTTGACGTTTTTCCATATTGTGTGTGATGTGTGTTACCGCGAGTGCTGCACGTGGAATGCAAAAGGACTGACTGACTTTTTTGAGGAAATCATCGGGGAGTTTTGTTGTATTTAATGTCATCCTTATCGCCTCATAGGAGACCCATGGATTTTCTCGTGTATTCTCTTGTGCCATTGGACACGCTTTCTTCGTGATGGGATCTGTCGGCTGTGGAATCACGGCGGGGCTGTTGGAGTCGCCCGGCGCTGTTGTTGTTGGCGGGCCCGCGGCGCTGTAGCCCAAGTCGGTGACGCTTGGCACTTCCGTCCAAATGCCGTGGCGGCGCTTGTAACAAATTTTGAAGGCGCCGCCCTGCCGGAGGACCCACGACCACAAAGTGTACGTCGTGCTCGGGCCGTAGTCGTCGCTGGGGCCGAGGTCGGTGCTCTCCGGCACTCCGCCGGCGGGGCTCGCCGTCGCGCAGTCCTCGCTGTCCCGCACGAACTTCGCCCGGTCGCCCTCCGGTCGGGTGTCCAGATCGAATCCATGGAATTTTATGGTGGTTTTCACACCAACCAGCACGCGACCATCCTTGTCTTGGCCCTCTACTATCTGGTAATAAGAAGGATTTCCATCAAACACACGAACAACAGCCAACTCTGTGCTCAGGGCATCACCTTTTGCTCGATAACAAATACGGTAAGTCTCAGGTGTGTCAAAAAAATAATCACGCTCCCCAAGAGTTGAGGGATCCTCAAATGAATGAAAATCCGATTTCACGGAAGGAAGACGCATACCAATTCCTTCACTGGTGTTGTCTGCACATTCCTTATCCAAACCTTTAAGTGTCACAATATCATTTTTAGCTTTATGCATATTTGTACCTTTAGGGTAACGTAGAATAAATTTTGTGGTTGATGTTCGCCTGATGTAAACCGCTCGAGGTACGACTGAAACCACCACAGGTAAATAAGCATCTTGAGACTCCTTTGCGCTCTCCATATAATTCATAATTGCCCGAATTTGTAGTGAACATCTTGGGTTTTCGCCTTTATTCATGAAAACCAGGGAAAAATGGCCAGCTTCTGGGAGACGAATAGAAATGTCACCAAGAGAACCTCCCGCCATATCTTTTACATCATAATCAGTCACATCATAATTACCTGTAAGCTTGTTTTTTTCCTTGGCTCGTAAAACAAGGCGATGTAAGTACTCTGTCTGATGAGGTACACTGCATGGATCCCATCCATCTCGGTTTAGTCCTCCTGTTAGACTGGTTACCTCATATACAAGGCATGTAAGCGTTAAGTTTTTTAACTTTTTCGGTATCTCATGAATGGTCACTTCACCACCGGCACCAGCAGAGCCTTGCACCTCTTGTCCCTCACAAGATGGGTACAAGCTTGAACCGTGAACAAGGGAACAACAAAAGGAAAGAAGAGAAATCAGGAACACCAGTATTAATTTCATTGATAAGGTGTGTGTATTTTTTTTTTTCTTTTGAAAAGATATCCTTGCTATAAGGTAGAAAATAGAGAGAGAAAAAAAAAAAACAGATGTCATGGTATACATGAGGAATACGTTTATATTTTGTATTTTATACCAGTGAGTGTAGGAGAACAAATTCATGAACAAGAGAATGTCATTATCGGAGCAGCAATCAGTTGACTCATTTCTTTCCCCCTGTATCCTTACCTTTGTCTGTGGTACCAGTAGCTCCTCTTTTCGCCGATCCTCTTTCTTTTTGAAACAGATCCACCGCCTTTATGTTCACCATCTTCATTCGAAACGCTACCTTTCCAAGTCGCCGCTTTATTTGGTTATCAAGTACCTGCTTCTGCCAAGGTGATTCGAACTCATTGTTCTTTTCCCTATTAAATAATTCTTCTGTGAACCAATGTTGAGCCGCAATTTTGTTTTCATAGATTCCAGGATATGTCCACTCTGGACCGATAACGGGATCCTTCTGTTCCTTGAAAATAGAAATAGGCAGTGACATTCCTTCCTTGCCGTAGGTAAATACGTTTAGTGGTACCTCCTTAACTTCAACTAACTTGCGATGCTCCATACGACCATAATACGCGTTCTGCAGCTTTTTCCTTTCCCGGTCCATCTCAAGTTGTGTTGGGGCTGTATCATAAGGAAGATACACCTGTTTGTAATCAGGAGTATCTGAGGGTTTTCCCGTCCGCTTCAACGCAACAAAAGTGGCGAAGAACTGTGCGAAGGACGTCGTTCTAAACATTCTACCACCCTACGCCTTATTTAGATTTGCCAATATTAAAAATTACATTACCATAATGGCAGAAACCCAAAAAAATATATACATGAAGAGGGAAAAAAGGGGGAAAAAAGAACAGAAATGTATTTTATTATTATTATTATTATTTACCTTTATTTTTTTTTTCTATTTGATCTCTTAGAATAGATTTCTAGTCTCCATAAATTTGATTTACACAGAAAAGCAGTTAACACCCATGTAATACTGATTCCTTACGCAATGGATACCGCTGCTATCGCCTCCCTATTTTCTTTTCCCAAACTGATTCCTAGATGCTAATACTACAGGCTGTCAATATACCTCTAGCCTTCCACTTCCCATCCTCCTCCTTCTTCCCCTTCACCTTATTTTCACTCAGTTTAACAGCATCACCTTTCTAGACTAATCATGGATCAATCCCACCACCCCACCCCACCCTTTCTCTCTCTCTCTTCCTCTCTCTTTCTCTCACTCACACACTCACTCACACACCGCATACAAACACATTCCGTCACATTACCATGTCTTCTTCCAGTAACGGAAAGTTGTCCTGCCGTAAATACGCCAGTTGGTATTTTTCTGTCCATAATGAAGGAGAATACAATTCACAAGACCCAAGGTTGTAAAGGTCTTCCAGAACATAACACGACGATCATCGTACTCTGACTCAGCGGACCACCGGAGAAAGTTCACAACATCCTTAGCCATTTGACTCGTTGTCGCCGGTGTACCATCTTCGTAATCCACCATACCGTCCATGAGTGGAGGTGGCATGGAGAGCACGCAATCCTTGAAGTAGGGGTTCCAGAACTGTCCAGGCTTAATTTCAGGAGCAAACGGAGGAACTTCCATCAGCTCTCCATTACCCCAGTTGTATCCGGTAATGAGAGAAAAGATGTAGTCAGGGCCACCCTCTTTGCCGAAAACAGCATGTTGCAAATCTGGTGGTTCAGAACCGTTATTCGCAAACTGTGCCGCACGCTGATTGGGGAAAGGTACTGGAAGTGTGTCTGTTGGTTTGCCTGGGCGAGGGTTCAACATACCTTGGGCGTCAGGCTCGGTATCAATCACTTCATACTGAGATGCCAGCTGTTTGATTTCCTCTCGGGTCATAAATCCCTGAAAGTGTGTGAACGTCATGCGACCCAAAGCATGGCAGGGGGCAAACACTTCAGTGTAGATCTGTCGCCCACGACGTACAGAAGGCCAGTCGAGACTATGCCAAATTTCGTAGTGGTCGTTGTGGTTCCAGTACCAATCTCGCTTGATGGGATGGGCCCTCTTCCCAGCCATATTTACTTTATGCTAACAACCCTGAGAACAAAAAACAAAACAAAACTACAAAGGATCAAACACACAGAGAGTAATAGGGGGAATAGGGGGAAAAGGAATAAGAAAAAAAAAAAAAGAAAAAATATACATATATATACACAGAAAAAGATAAAAAGAAAAAACAATCCATTATAAGAAGGGGTATAATTTAGCAAAAATAAATAAATAAATAAATAAATAAATAAATAATAATAATAATAATACTTTTATCACCACTATACTACTTTAAAAGGAAAAGATCATATCACCTCATGATAGAAATAAATCATCAGTGTTTAAAGGTTTGAATCCAGAATTGTCATTACTATCGCTTACTTTCCCGTCAGTTGTGAGTGGTTTCATGTTGAGCATTGACTGCTCCAAGACTTCAGCAACAACAGCCTGAAGTATAGTACTCTTCGAAAGTACCTTTACTGATGCAGAACCATCTGTAGATACCATCACATCTACCACTACAGGAGTATAGGAGAGAAAACCGTGCGTTTGTGTCGCATGAGCTGCGATACCTTTCCATTGATTGGTACCAGGTGTGTGAAAGACGCGGAATCCCATATTTGTAAGTATATGCTCAAGAACTTCGCCATTAAGAAAGGTACCTGCTGAAAGATGGTAGGTATCCGTTAAAGTAACATCTAGTTCCTTATATAGGGAGTTATACGATGATTCATCTTTTTCATTATACGGAGATAAGAATCGAGTACAAACAATAGGAAGTAAAAGAACTTTCATTATAACAGAATGGTCATCCGGTACCTCATAAGAAAAACGTATTGAAGGAGGCTCCTTAAATGGTGCCAAGGATCTGGCAAGAAAATTATATTGTAAAGTTTCACCTGTGTTGATTTTGATATGTTTATCTTTCGATTGCAGCAGTAGCCCAGCATCCACCCCAACAACTTCCACAAGGACATTTTGTAATTCCCCTTTAGCCTTAGATTGAATTGTGAGAGTCACACGAGCATCAGCCCCGTGATAATGCTGTGAGCACTGAACCTCCACTAACTTGTCAGAGTAAAGGGTACCGGATAATCCTGTAAGAAGCGATACAAATAGATGTTGTACCTCTTCCTTCTCTTTTGCCATACTTTCTAATTGCATTGTTGAATTAACAAAAAACAAAGATTCCATATCAGTATCTTTTGTCAATTCTGATTCAGAAGAAACATCTTGCACCACCTTTAATATATCAGAGGAGACTGATTTACCATTCACTTCTTTCGCTGTAGATATTGTTTTTACTTCACCATCCACTTTTTCAGATACTGTCAAGGTTTTAGTGACATTTGCTCTCTCTTGAGCGATTCCATTACTCGGAATAGTAGACAAATTGCCCTTCTCAAAGGTTGGTAGAGGTTCTAGAACTTTTTGCAAGAGTTCGTCATTACCCAATTCGATAAGACCAACATATTCCATAGCGCGTTGCTGCAGCTCAACACTAAAACTACTTCTAAACGATCGAAGTATTTTCATAATTTTTTCACGAACGATCAAATCATAGTAATTATAAAGTTTTACAAAGGCACTTAACATGAGACATTGTGTCTCTTCAGAGGCATCATTGAGATGATCTTGGAGTACAGTCACCTGCATGAGCGGAGTACTCTCTACATTTAGGGCGATCTGATACCCAAACTCTCCAATAACGATCGCTGCAACTTGCAAAAGAACTTCAGGGACAGTACTACGACTTTTGAGAATACTAAATAATTTCATTACTGCTCGTTTTTGAACGTAAGAATTATTTAAAATAACATCTACAACACGATAAACAATTTCTTTTGGAGTAATATTGTCAGCTTGTGCAATAACGGAAACAATAGTATCAACATACCAGCCATAGTCTGTACAGTATATCTCTGACAATCGAGCAATGGCAAGCACAAGATTTTCTTTGAATGTTCCGTCAGAAATAGGAAGGTATGAAAGAAGTTCTTCAATAACTTCTGTTGCATTATCCTTGTCACACATATTTACGGTTACATCCAAAGCTTTTGTGCGGATAGAAACATCAGGATCATGTAAAGCAACAACAATTTGTTCTTGATATTGTTTAGAATAATCCCTGTAATCATTTGGTGAAGCTTTAGATGAACATAACCGTGATAACAAATTTAATCCCATATAACGTAAATTAGAATCCTTTTTTTCAGTAATAAAGGTACTAAGTACGTCTAGACATTCACTACGAAGCTTGTTACCTATATTCCATTCATTAATAAGTAAAACTACTTCAAAAAATACCGCATTTATGGCACTTACACGATTCATGGTACCCTTTTGTTTTTGTTGTGTTTGGGCGTCTCGCAAAACTCTATCTGTAGCTTGTACAATTTTTTCCAATACAAGAAGAGCTTTCTCTTTTAATACCGGGTCTGAAGGAACTGGAAACTTACGAAGCAGACGCATAGAAATTGCTTGTAACCATGGAGCGGGAACACCGTAATAGACATATCCTGGTTCTGTTTGTTTCGTTAATATAATTCTCCCAAGGAGATCAATGATTTGATGAGGAGTGGATTGAAAAAGATTTCGAGTCGTTTCATTAAGACAGCCTGTAAGAAACAAGACAGCGCAACCACTCATTCCAAATAGGGGACTAAGGACAAGATCAGTCATAACAGGTACAACTTCCGCAAGGTCTACAACTTCAGGGTATTTTCTGTAGATACGTAAATATGTCAATACAGCTTTCTTTCGAATATGTACATCCCGACTATTGTTCAAAAGAATATTCTTCACCCCAGTAGACATTACTTCGGCAAACTCTTTTCCACCTGTATTAGCAATTGCTGTGAGTGCTAGACTCACATTTAGCTCCTGTTCAGAGAGAAGATCTTTGTAAATACTATGAGTGGCGAGGGTCAAAAGTGGGTGATTTTCATTAAGAAAAACTGTCACGGAGAGGTAACCAATGAGTTTCTCCGCTGGAGTTGTTAATGCTAATAATTTAACTCCTTCCATATGACCAAACTCCACGGGGTATCCAAGCATTGTGATAAACATTAACTTACATACATACTTTCTTCGGTCATATGTAGTCATCTTTGTTGTGTCTTGAAACTTTGAGCGAATCTTAACGAGTTCAAACTCAACACGTTCTCTTTCCTCAGCAGGACTACTAGTTGCTTTTCGAACATCCTGTATAAAGTGAGCCAGGCCACGCATGTCCATCTTTTCCGAATTTTTTAATTCTTATCACTGAACTATCACCACAATTATTATTATTATTTTTTTTTTTTTTTACTTATGGAAGAAAAAAAGAAAAAGGAAAAATAAAAATAAAACGAGTAAAATAAGTAGGTTATTGAATAAAGCAATAACATAAAAGCAGATATATTCAAACTAGAAACAAACAAATATTGTTGAAAAAAAAAAAGCTAAAGTCATGGGTAATAATACGAATAATAAAATAATATAGGAGATCTCCCTTGACTATCCTTAGAGAGCCCTGGTATCCATAAAACTGTACTTAAGAAAACAGTGATATGTACGGATAAAAAAGAATGACAAATACATTCACTATTCCGTTCAAAATATTACTGTTATGAGAGGATCATACCCTCTCTAGTAGGGCGAGAGGGTGAAGGTGGGATGGCACCGGTGTCTTTTCGCATTCTCTTTTTAACCGGTGTCTCCGGTGCCAAAATATCAGTGTCACTATCAGAATCCTCTAAGGAAGATTGTACCCCATCCTCAGATACTGGAGACGACAATTGATTCTCCCCAATATGTGAGACTTCTATAGACTCATTATCATCTTTCACTCCTGACCCTGTTCCCAACTTTCGTCTAGTCAACATATATGTCGGTAAGCTGTGACGAGAGGAAATCGAGTGAAGTTTTTCTGACTTGCGTGATGGTTCTGTCAAATTTTTTCTATGTGTCTTGCTTTCCAAAAGCTCTTTCTCTATCTTGCATGAATCAATAGCTGTAGTACAGTTATTATTGTGGGAAAAACATAAATCCCCATCATTCAAACTATTTTTATGAGTTTTTTCTTTATCAAGAGAAGTTCTGGATCCGTTATCTGTTTCACACACTGAAGTCAACAAAGTTGTGTTAATGTGTGCGACAACATCTGTCACTTTAGCTTCCAAAACAGGCGGGCAAGTATCAACAAAGATGTGAAAAAGAAAGTCACATCCAAAGTTAGCCCTAAACCCAGTGAGAGCCGTTACCACCTCGGCAGGGATGACCTTTTCACGAGATTTTCTGAGTGAGATCTCTTCTGCACCGTACAGCTGCAAGAAGATATTCCACGGTACTTTCATGAGGATATCCCGCAGCATTGTGGGACTAACTAACAATTTCAGAAAGAATCGCGGCAGAAGAAAACCTTCAAGTACGTCTACATCATCCTCAAACTTCCTTTTCATACGACGTTGACTCATACCTTCGGAGTCAAATAAACCCCAGAATAAAACTCTTGTGAGACGTGCCATTACTTCCACAATTACAGTTTCCATAGGTAGACGTGATACTTCAACATGTTTTCTTTTACCCAAAGAACCTCCTACACTCTTAACAGCAGCCTCAGAGCGCAATACCAATTCTAAAGGGGTCACATTTTCTATAGTATCTGAACCTTTTCCAAAGACAAAGTTGTGGGTGTCCTCCAGAGCAACGACGAATGCCTCATCAGAAGAAGACTTAAACTCTGAAAGAGTACGAATACATCCTGGTACATCAGCCTGCATCTCTACATAAATGCAGAAAAAAAAAAAAAAACAAGGAAAAATTAAAAACAAGAAAAAGTTGAGACAGTCATGTACAGCATAAAAAGTGGGAAAAATACCACATACACAATAAAATAGAGATAAAAACCAAGAAAAAGGCTTTTACTCCCCCTCCCGAGAAGAATTAATATAAACATATATACAAATATATATTTATATAAATATATATATCATTTACTAAGACTGACTCGATATGGTTTTTTTTTTCTCCGTCATGACATATTTTTTTTCCTTGCCTTTTCTCCCAATAGAAGAAAAAAAAGTAATACAACAACAAAAAAAAAAAAAAAAATCTGGGAAGAACAAGTAATACAACAACAAAAAAAAAGATCCTTAAGTAGAACGCAATGCATACCTCTTTTTCCTAATGGGAATCGTTCCCTTTTTCTCTTGTACAATGCCAGCTACCATCCTTATTTTTACAAAGTCAGAAATGAGGAAATTTTACTCCCCTAGTACGATGTCAATATTTAATATACTACCCCCAAGCATACAGTTGCGAACAACAACAAAAAAAAAAAAAAAAAAACGGTTAAATATGGGACCGTTGCCCATTTAAGTTACCCAAAGCAACACCGCGAATCATATTAGCACAACCATCGAGTTGGTCAATAGAAACAAACTCATTCGGTTGATGTGCTTGCAAGATAGATCCTGGCCCACAGACAACCACAGGAACACCAATACCCTGATAGTGACCACCTTCAGTGGCGTACGCGACCTTGCGTGTCTTCGAATCTTTAGTCAAATGGCGTACCAATACAATAAACGGATCGTTCTCGTCAGATTCCTTCATTGAAGGGACGCCACTCAATTTTTCCACCTCAATACGTCCATCTGGATATTCTTTCTTCAAAGAGGGAAGAAGTTCCTTTTCTAAGAAACTTTGTATTTTTTCTTGAATAGATTTCAACTCTACTTTTGGCAAGCATCTCATTTCATACAAAAATTCACACGTTGCAGGAATGATATTCCCTGCATTACCCCCTTTAATAAAATTTGTCGATACTGTAGTAAAAGGAACATCAAAAAACTCATCAAATGGACCCTTGAACTTGACTTCTTCAGCCACCTCACGTATTTTTAGGATCAATTTACAGGCATAGTCAATAGCATTGCATCCTTGATTTGTAAGAGCATAAGAGGAATGTGCCGCTTTACCGTAAATACGAACACGGAACAAATCATTACTCTTGTGCGCAATGACGATGTTGTTAGATGTTGGTTCACCAACGATGCATCCATCCGCCTTGATGTTGTTATCCCGCAGGAACTCCGCAAGCACCTTGCCACCGATACATCCTATCTCTTCATCATAGGTCCATGCAAAATGAATCGGTTTAGCACGCTTCATCTTGAGTAATTCCGGAGTGAGGGACATACATACAGCAATAAATCCCTTCATATCACATGTGCCCCGCCCGTACAGCCGGCCATCCTTCTCCGTCAGCGTGAACGGGTCACTGTCCCACTTCTGCCCGTCCACCGGCACCACGTCGGTGTGGCCGGAGAGAATGATGCCGCCGTCCGTCACACCGCCGTCGCCCGGCAGCGTTGCCCACAGATTCGCCTTTGTCTTCTCCGCGTTGTGCACCAGCGTGCACTTCACACCGAGTCCCTCCAGGTACTCCTTGCAGTAGTGGATGAGGTCGAGGTTGGAGTTGCGGCTCGTCGTGTCGAACGCCACGAGCTTCGCTAGCCACTGTTTAGCGTTCATAAATGATTGTAGAAGAGAGTTAAAATGGGTAAACTTGAGATTAAACCTGGTACCTTGTGGCAATAACGGAAAAGGAGGGGAAAAGGGGAAAAGAATAGGAAATGTACGCATAGACGACACCCTAAATCCAAATGTAAGAAATGAAACGAATCCCACCAAAAGGACACGGCACCTATCAATGCAGCATGTGTACCTGTAAAGGGTCACTGTTCTGAGAGTAGAAATAAAATAAATAAATAAATAAAAACCGTTTTATATTTAAGCTACGTTCACGAAGAATCCTTCTAAGAACTTCCAAGTTAACGAGACCCCTCTTGCACTGCGCCCAACATATCATGAAAACAGCCCTGATGTCATACAAAAATATCTGCAAATTTAACAACAACAACCAAAAAAAAAAAAAAAAAAAAAAAAA